GTTGCTCACGGCTGTGCATTGCAGCAAAACATCCTTAACACGAACTCGTGTAAGAGGAACACTAGGTTATCATGAAGACAATTGTGATCCCAGTAAAGCAAACATGCAGAGATCGTTTTTTTCCTTTTTACGAAACTTAAATCTAGTGGTGTTTTTGATGGAATTCGTAGTAGCCCAGCGAAAGTGGGGTGTTGAGCAGATCACTACATCCTTGGAGACAACAAGCACAATGGCGGCTGTTTCAGTAGTGAGTTGGTACGGGAAGTAGTAGCAGCAAAAGCAGCAGCAGTAGTAGTAATATTAGTAGTAGTAGTAACAGCCCAAAATCAGCAGTAGTAGCAGCAGCAACAGCAGCAGTAGTGGTCGTATTAGTAGTAGTAGTGGTAGATGTTGTTGTTGTTATAACAGCAGCAACAGTAACAGCAGCTCCAGCACTAGCAGCCATAGTACAAGCTGTTGTTCTTGAGGGCATTGTGGCGGTGGTGGCGCTGGTCGTGGTGGTAGTAGTTGTTGTTTGTTTTTTAAATTGTTTTTAGTAGTAATATTAGTTGCAGCAGCAGAAGCAGCAGTAGCAGCAGCAGCAGTAATAGTTTCAGTAGTATAATTTCAGTAGTAGCATCAGTAGTAGCATCAGTAGTAGCAGCAGTAGTAGCAACAGCAGTAATAGTATCAGTAGTATAATTTCAGTAGGAGCATCAGTAGTAGCAGTAGTAGTAGCAGCAGTAGTAGCAACAGCAGTAATAGTATCAGTAGTATAATTTCAGTAGGAGCATCAGTAGTAGCAGCAGCAGTAGTAGCATCAGTAGTAGCAGCAGTAGTAGCAGCAGCAGTAATAGTATCACTAGTATAATTTCAGTAGGAGCATCAGTAGTAGCAGCAGTAGTAGTAGCAGCAGTAGTAGCAGCAGCAGTAATAGTATCAGTAGTATAATTTCAGTAGGAGCATCAGTAGTAGCAGCAGCAGTAGTAGCATCAGTAGTAGCAGCAGTAGTAGCAGCAGCAGTAATAGTATCACTAGTATAATTTCAGTAGGAGCATCAGTAGTAGCAGCAGTAGTAGTAGCAGCAGTAGTAGCAGCAGCAGTAATAGTATCAGTAGTATAATTTCAGTAGGAGCATCAGTAGTAGCAGCGTGGTGGTAGGTAGTACTTGTTCTTTTTACTGTTGTTGTAGTTGTTTATAGTGTAACAACGATAATGATAATAAGGTCTTGTAGCCACCAGAAATTTTCCTCAGACAAGCAATAAATGTCCGTGCAAATCGTAAAATAAAGAATTTGTATATGGGTAGCTGAAAATGTTTGTTTCTTTCTAGTTACTTTCGATAGTTTCGTTTGTTTTTATTGTTGGTAGATATGTGTGTATCTTTATGTATTTGGATAGAATGGGCAGTGCTTTGATATTTACTGAAGAACACAACAGAAAATGGACTGTCTGCAGAAAGAGATGTTTGAGAACGGTCGTGGATAAACGTAGAAAAATTCATGTGAGAAACAAAGAAATTTTGGGACAACACCTAAAATTATATTAATTAAAACTAGGACTGAACTGGTTTAGTCATTTAATGAGATGAATCCAATAATTTCAGCAATACGAAAGCAGAAACACATAAGCTTGGGGATGACAAAAAAGTAGATGCACTGAAGATTTCACTAATACCTTGAGACTCTCCAATCTCACAGAATACCGAGCAACCGAGCATGCTCTAGCTTAGATCCGGATCATCTATTCACCAGCGACGCGTAGCAGCACAAAATAGAATACGGACAGAATCAAGATAGAACAGTGTTTCTTTTTTGATATTCCTATCATTTCTGTTGCCTGTTTCACTTGTCATATGCTGGGATTATCATCACCATCAATATCACGAGGGACAGGTTCCGCAAGACTTTAAAGACTCAAGCATCATAACTGTGTACACGAACAAACATGATCGGAGTGACTGCAATAACTGCAGGAGAATATCACAGCTATGTACTGTTGGAAAAGTACTTGGGAGAATTGTTCTGCGAAGACTCCACATCCTAGAAGATCAGGTTTACCCAGAGTCACTGTGTGGCTTTCTTGGAAACCGATCTACCACTGATTTATTTTCATTAGGACAGTTGCATGCAAAATTCAATAAACAAAATCAACCACTGAATGTTGCTTTTATTGATCTCACCGAGGTATTTGATTTCGTCAGTCGAAATGGTCTGTTTTACACTCTGAAAAAATGATTTCCCACCTACTTTACTGAGCATTATTGAGTCGCTCCACTATGAAAGGTACAATCAACTTTGATGGTGTAACATCGGAGGAGTTTTTAATCAACAATGGAGTGAAGCAGGGTTGCATACTTGCTCCTACCCTCTTTAAAATATACTTCTCACTTCTTCTGAAGCATACCTTCGAGATCAGAACTGTTGTCTGTCAGGCTTGTGTTTTCAGCGCTCTGCTTTATGGCAGTGAAACTTGGTCAATTTATTCGCACCAGGAAGAAACGGCTAAATCGTTTTCATATGCGTTGCTGAGAAGAATACTTGGCATTAAGTGTCAGTACAAGATCACAAACACTTAGGTATTGGAAAGAGCAGTTATTACAACAGTCTTCTCAATGCTCAGTCTACAAAAGCTCAAGAGACTGGGTTACACTTGGAGAACAGGTGGATGGCAAAGTTTTAAGGACATCCTCTATGATGAAGTAAAGACGGGTAGAATATGTTTAGGTCTACCTCTGCCGCGATATAAAGATGTGTGCAAGCGGGACAAGAATGATACATGTATTGAGTTGGACTTTTAGGAACAAAATACCATGGGCCAGGTTGTGTGGAAAGAGAATGAGATTGAAGAAAGAAATTATTGCAATAAGGATGAGAACTGAGCGTCTGAGAAGAAATAGACTAAACATAAATTTTGACAACTTAGGTCCCGAAATCCCATGCTAAATTTATCATCACTGTCGTGTTTTGCCATCATATTTCATACTGGGCGCGGGAGATCCTATGTAATCAATTCAATATCACAGATTAGAACAGTTCACACTTTGGCTTCCATCGTTCCATGGGCTGTGAGTCCTCGCTTAATAAATCCCTTTTGTCTTCTCATTTTAGTGCCTGAACTCATAGCACAATACAGCGCCAACACTATCGTCTGCCCAAAAAGACTGAAAGGTGCCAATGTTGAACGTGTCATCATCATCGGAAAAAAAAAATTATCATCACTGACGTGTTTTGCTCTTTTTTTTCACACAGGGCTCGCAGTCTATTTATCTATTCTGTTCTATCCTATGTAATCAATTCAATATCACAGATGGAAAACAGTTCAGAACCTTTGGCTTCTCTTATCAACGTTCGTTTCATGGTTTCTTTTAAACGTCCTCGCTTAATAAATCCCTTGTGTCTCCTCATTTTAGTGCCTGTCTGAACATTCTCTGCTCGCTCTCACTCCAATACAGCGCCATCTTCTTTGTCTTTTTGCTGTTGTTGTCCAAATATTTCTCATATTATGCCTCTCGAATGTTTACCATTTTATGTTGAACGTGTCATTAAAGCATCATAGAAAAAAAAATAGAAAAGTATCACCAACAGATAACGATATAATAAATCTCGTTAACAATTTATTGTCGATGGCACGATTTTTCAACGTTTTTTATTGTGCTATTTCAATTAACAACCTGTAAAATTGCGGTTTTCAAAACCTGCTGATAAGAATATTAAAAAAAAAACAAAAAAACATGTCATGTCAAAGAGATAGACATTTCTAGATATGCTGTAGTGTAACATCCGGATCTGGCTCACAGTCTTTGGTAAGTTTTGAAACAAGGTTACTTCCTTTATTGAAACATAGGTTACTTCATTTATTGAAACATGGTTACTGCATTTATTGAAACATAGGTTACTTCATTTATTGAAGCATGGGTTACTTCATTTATTGAAACATAGGTTCATTTATTGAAACATAGGTTACTTCATTTATTGAAACATAGGTTACTTTTTTTATTGAAACACGGTTTATTTCTTTTATTGAAACATAGGTTACTTCTTTTTTTATTGAAACATAGGTTACTTCATTTATTGAAACATGGGTTACTTCATTTTTTGAAACATGGGTTACTTCTTTTATTGAAACATGGATTACTTCATTTATTGAAACATAGGTTACTTCATTTATTGAAACATGGGTTACTTCATTTATTGAAACATAGGTTACTTTTTTTTTTTGAAACATAGGTTACTTTTTTTTTTGAAACATACTTCATTTTTTGAAACATAAGTACTTCATTTTTTGAAACATACTTCATTTATTGAAGCATGGGTTAATTTATACATGTTTGGTTTAAAAGCCTTACGATCTTAGCTTCGTATAGTAACGGATATTTATTGTTGGTACATGGCTCCGAAATTGATCTAAAATAATATGGATAACAGGAATTGACTTAGGAAATGAAGGTGGTCGACATAACGTTGGCCACATTACCCACTGTCAGATAACTGGTTGAAAAAATACAAGATTTTAGTTGTATGGCTTCACCCGGGATAAGTTTTGTTAAATGTTCTCGTCATCTGCAAATCTTTGTCTCCAGCGTTGCCTTATATTTATTGATTGCCCCTAAATGCACTTGAAACTCCTACCCCAGGGTTTTCCAACATCAAGCCATTTAACCATGAAGCTACCACCCCTTCGACACACCCAGCGCGCCAGATAGGGCGACAGCTCCTAAAGGCCGGTTAGATGCAGAAGAGGAGAATAGACATGTCAGGTTTAAGAAACAGGAACGAACGATCAAAAATCGAAAAATATAGGGGAAGAAGGTGGAAGTAGACGAAGACAAAGATGATGATGATGATAATGATGATGATAAGGATGAGAGGAGGATAATGATGATGAAAAGGATAATGCTGAGGACGGGGAGAACGAGGGTGGTGATGAGAATGATGATAACGATGATCTACAAATGTCTTTCTCATGTCCACACTTATAAAGATACACCTTACACAACATCCTCAGGAACGACTCCAAACATGGACCTGCGAAACCTCCTCCTGGTCACTGCGATCCTCCTCCCACTGGAAATCGCTGCAGTAGACATCCCCATCACCGACAGCTGGTTTGGAGGTTTCCAGGCTGGAGCCTGTGTGGCTATTACCACATCACTAAACGGCTGGACTGCATCGCTGAAATTCTCAGACGACGTCCATTCAGTAGAAATTTGGGTCGCCAAAGTAACCAAAGTTAGCAGTCGGGAATATCGTCTGCAGAATGAAGCCTTCAACCCGATCCTCAATGTTGGTGATCAGTTCTGCTTCTCCTTCGTGGGTCGTGTCACGGGAAATGTGACGCCGAAGATCACGTTTAGCTTTAACGGGGTCGGCGATTCCGGAAGTGTTGCAAGTACCCCAAGTAGTAGTAGCAGTAGTACGACTCGTAGTAGCAGTAGTAGTACTACTCGTAGTAGCAGTTCCACGGCGGCTCCATCTACAGGTATGTTGTTTCTCACATTTTTAAATGCCTATTAATTTCATTGTCATCTTTCTCATTGTGACAAGGCATGCTTCCTGCAGAGTGGCATGCTTTACTGCGGAGAACACAGGTGAGGAGTATTGTCTGAATTTTTTCCCCGGCATACGCCGGTGTGTTGGGAAGTGAACAGGCGGACAGACTGGCTGGTTCTGCACAACTTAGTGGAATATTGATACATGATAAGGCAGACGTGGTTAGTGCCTTGTGGGAGAGCGTGTACAGTTCGGGTGAGCAGATGGATCACCATAGTCTGGTGAGATTAATGCAGCTGGGATGGACGAGAAGTTCTGGCAGATGCTAGAGGCTCAGAGGAAAGGCAAGACGGACGTTTAATCAGAATGCTGCTGGCACCATTAGTATCGAAACTCTTCGCTGGCTGCTGCAGATGGGGACGGAGCGCTCATGGAAATGCCATAGGTGCTATGATGTCGGTTCTTGAATCAAATGAAATCAAATCTGATTGTGACTACCCTCAGTCACTTGTGTCGTTACAATTCGTCTGGGAGTGGATCGCTCAGCGGGTAGCATTGGCTATAGTCGATACACATGGGTGTACAATATATTTGATGTCAACTTGCTATCCTCTCCTTGGGCGCCCTTTTGCTCTCGTATATAATATCGTTTTTTTGTGTGTGTGTGAAATGACTTTCAATTTCAGATCTACTATCATCATTAGGAGGTCGCTTCTTTAGAGAACGCCGCTCTCCTCTTGATTTGTCTTCCGGCATGTGAGAGAGGGATTGGGCGGGGTGGGGGGGGAGGAGTGTCATAGTCAATAATTATATCCATTCTAAGGAACGAGCCCACAAGTCTCTTGATATTAGACTCGTCTGCCCATTGAAATCATCTCTCTCTCTCGCGCTCTCTCTCTCTCTCTCTCTCTCTCTCTCTCTCTCTCTCTCTCTCTCTCTCTCTCTCTCTCTCTCTCTCTACTGCGTGCTTAGTAGTTTTATGTAAAACTGTCGAGTTACGTTCGCTGTCGTAATCTCCCAACTGCCTACCAATCTTTCCTGTCTGGGTCGCTTTCTGCCCAGCATCTTACTTCTGTGAGACAAGTGGCATAGGGCTTCTGCAGGTCAAATATGTTACTGACCCAGCCAGTAAAGATAAGGAAACGTTAGTCCGACGTTAGTCTGACTGACTGACTTTCTACCCCACTAGGACATCACACAAGCGATAAACACCCAATGACACAAAGTGCCACCATGCGGATGAGGATCGCCATGGAGAGGTCCCAGAAACCGCGTTCAGACATTTGGCCATATTTATGGCCTGCCTATATTGCGGCCCCCGGTAAAAGCCAGGGTGGAGCTTCAAATAAAAAATTTCATCCTGAAAAGGACGATAGAGATAGTACATATAACCGACGTTAGTCTTTCCAGGTCATGCCTATATACACACTAATTCACTTCTGATTGGTAGTTCCTGAACCCTGTGACCTTCGCACACAGTTACAGAGGTGTTCCGCAATGCTATTGATATTGCGTGTTGTATATTTCAGCACGCCATTGTTTTTAACACTCTAAAAACATGGATAAACAGGGTCTAACACAAACTCCCCTAGAGAGTGTCGCAACTTATGTCAGGCCTTCTTTTTCTTGGAATGAAAACGAAAATGCAAGACATCGCAGAAACCAAACAACAGATCAGGACACATCCGTAACCTACAGAAAAGTTGACCTGCCCAACAAACTTGTAAATGAAAAGTGACCTACTCTATTTTGGGAGACCACTACCTGAAGGAAATGTATACAACGTTCATTTGTTCGTCTGTTGTTGTGAATTTGCAAACTATTTCTGCATCCCGTTGATTTTTGACATTTGTTTATAATATTGATTAAGTTATGTGGTATTTCATATTATAACAGTAATAGTTAGCAACAATGGCAAACTGCACACAATTAGTCAGAAAGGAATCGGCTTAAGCTTTTATAGCTGAATGAATTGAAACTGGTATTTCGAAGCTACGAATTGTGTTTCCAGCCCGTAAACTACAGATGCCGATAGGTGGATGTACGACTGCAAATGCAATAGTTATGTTGCACCTGTGAAATGTTATGTATATGGAGGTGTGCAAATGTAATAGTAATGCTTTACTTTCGATATTTTGTAGGTGGGAGTACAGCAAACAAAGACTACATGGACGCCTTGGCCAAATCTATCCTCTTCTACTACGCTCAGAGATCTGGGAAACTTCCCGCCAACAACCCGATCCCTTGGAGAGGAGACTCCGCTCTCAGTGACTGCGTCCCTGGAGGATGGTGAGTACATTACCGGGTCTTAGAATGCGTGAGGGATGTAGCACCACCAAGATCACCTCATTGTTATCTGCAAATCTCTGACCCCGCAAATGTTTTTTCAGTGGGCCAGACCCATTCATACAGTTTCCTCTGATACAAACAACTGTCCCCGCATTCAACCTTCATTCTTTGATAGATTTCAGACGGTTTAACAACCTCTGTTCACAGAAAACAGAACAACACCTCATTGCTCTTGCACGGTGCATACTAACAGTGCTGCAGCCATTTTATGCAAGCTGTTGCGCATGCGCAAACTGTCGAACCATCGCGACACGTATTGTAAAGAGAGACCATTTATTGCCCTAAAAGAAATTCCTTTTTGTATGTGTGTGTGTGCTTACTGTTACACGCTTACTAGGATAAAATTGCCTTTACTTAAAGACTTCCCTCGTAGATTATTTATTGATCTATACAAAAGTGTAGATCTAGAAGTTAAGCCCGATGCACTAATTGCGTGAAAAAAAGAATTCTTTGCTACAATGTTCCCTTATTAGCTGCCCAGGATTCACAGACATGTGTTTGAACTAAATAATATAACATGCAAACATTCTTTATTTAATTTTTTTTTTCTTTAGAAATGTATGTCCTAAAATGTTCTTCGTTTTATAAAATGCAGTGCTTTATTTATCCAATTCTCTGTCTCTCCTTCTATTATAACTCCTTAGCACTATCTGTCCTTTAGATTTAACGTTAATAGGGAGTGACTGCATTCAAGATGATGGCAATAACTGCTACATACAACGTATTTACGCCCAGTCATGTTGACTTTCGTTGTTTAGAAGCTCTGTTTCTCTTGCTCTGCGTGGTTTCGAGGCATGACGTCAGTCTCGAGTGCTAGAGGTCCCGGGTTCAAGCCCTGGTAAAGACTGGACAGAGTAATTTCCCCTGGTCTCTGGGTAGAAAGACCTGACGCACGTGTATATTGTTGCACACGTAAAAATTCCGTTGGTAGGTGGAAATCGAACAAGAGTAGTCTAATGGCGCTGCCCAGGCAAAATTTAGAGTTAAAAATCTACTTAAGGTAGTTTAGGATCCTCAGCGGTGCTACAGAGTTCTTGCATTGTGCTGAGATTCTTTGGACTCAAGCTTGAGTCAGAAGTTGAACGTGGCAATTATGGGTTATTACTCTTGTGCCATGATGTTGATCCGTCGTCTAAATTTAAATCTGCTGTCCTATGCGTTGAGTTATCCACTCCTAGTTTAGCCCTGTATTTAGTAATCTGTTGATAAAGGCTTTGGTCGAAATATTGGATAGTATTTGTGGGCATCTTCTATCTTCCCTCCGTTAAGCTTTCTAGTCACATTGTATGCTGTAACTAGCACTTCAAGACTTAACATTGCTCATGGCTATCTAGGTATGATGCCGGTGACCATGTCAAATTCGGCCTCCCTATGGCCTCTACAACGACTCTGCTCCTTTGGTCACTTTACGCTTTCAAAGATGGCTACTCCGCAGCGCAGCAGTTGGACGCCATGTATGACGTTATAAAATGGCCGCTTGACTACTTCCTCAAGGCATGGAACTCTAACACTAAACGACTGACCGTGCAGGTTGGAGATGGCAATGCTGACCACAGCTTCTGGGGCAGACCAGAGCAAATGACAATGTCACGGCCGTGTCAAGAGGTCAGCACGTCGTCTCCGGTAAGGTTCGATTTTTGGCTTTTATTGTTGTAGTGTGTATTTTGGTATATTGGCTTTCCTATTTTTATAATCCTCGTCTGTGGAGTTAATGCAGTGTATACTGCTATAGTGTGTCTTATTTTGGGTCCCGTTTTCCACATTACAGCTCTATTTACAATCGATTCTACCGGTTAAATCGCTTTACTGGTTAAACTGCTAACAGTGTTAGGACAAGGCACTTGGGTACCAGAAAATAACATCACTAAATGTTGAACAACCACATTCAGTGCTTTCCTAATATCTTATCACAAACAGGGGAAATCCAGAGGTCACGGGACAGTCTAATATTTCAGGGGGTGGTAGATAGGCTACATGCATTCGTGGGACGTAGGCTGCATGCAGTCGTAGGACCTAAACTGCACTTTCTCGTGGGACGTAGGTGGGTTGGGGTTAGTGCCAGTTCTAGATGTTTTTGGGTTCCTGAAAAAAAAAAAAGTTTGGTTCCATCAGGACCCGAACCCTCGACCTTTCTGATTCACAGGCGAGCGTCTAGCCGCTGCACCACAGTGACTTCCAGT